CAACAGGAAAAGACCCATCCTGGAGGAATCCAACTCAAATAACAAGGAAAGTAAAAGGCAAAAAGTAAACAATTCAAATGAAAAAGGGGCCTAAGGACCTACAAATGGTTAGGCAGGCAATCGAGCAAAGGATAAAGGAAAGCAGATTGCTCCAAAAATAGGCAGACCTCGCTACATGAAGAAAAACTCCTTGATGATGGATGCCAGGAAAAATCAAACAGCGACCCTAGAGGAATAACAGGGTTGCCGGTCACCATGAATCTCTTAATTTGGAATTGCTAGGGTCTGGGGAAAACCATGGCAATTCAAGCTCTCTATGACCATTTGCAGACCCACTCCCCACAATTAATTTACCTCATGGAAACAAAAATACTCTTGGAGACTGAAGTGCCCTTTGGAGGCTTATGGTTTTCACCAGCTTATAATAGTGGAACCATATGGTACTTCTAGTGGTTTTATTGTAGCTTGAAAATCTGATGTAATGGTTCGTTCCCTCTCAGTGTTAGGAAATATTATCGACACTGAGGTAAATGCAAATGCTATAAAATCATCATGGTGATGCACTTTTGTTTACGAAGCTCCTGTCAAAAGTCAATGAGGCCAAGTTTGGAATGAGACCAGAGAAATTGGGTCATCTATAACCTCCCCTTGGCTGGTGGCAGGAGATTTTAATGAGATACTTCACCTAGAGGAGAAACAAGGAGGGCGTTATAAGAATAGGGTCTCGGTTTTATCTTTCAGCTCAATGCTAAATGATTGCAACTTGATGGATTTAGGAAGCCATGGAAATCGGTTCACTTGATCAAACCGTCGTTCAGGAGTGGGCCTTATTCAACAAAGATTGGATAGATTCCTTGCAAATTCAGAATGGAGACTAGACTTCCCAGATGCTATAGTGTTTAATGAAACTATAATAGGGTCAGATCATGGCCCTGTAATTCTCCAATACTCTCCCCTCCAGTGGCGTGGTTTCAGACATTTCCGATTTGAAATGGCCTAAACCACCCATCAACAATGTGAAGAAGTCATCCAACAATCTTGGAATGACTGTGATGACAAAACCTTGGGCTATAAATTGGGAGTTTGTCGTCGGAGTCCTAAACAGTGGAACAGAAGCTCTTTGGTCATATTCGTACAAAGATCAGAAACCTCAAGACACAATCACTTAACTAGAGCACTGACAACTCCATGGAAGAGGAACATTTGCTTTGGGAATTAAAGGTGAAGATGCATAGAGAAGAATTCCTGTGGAAACAAAAAGCAAGAAATATCTGGCTGAAAGAGGGAGACGGGAATAACAAATTTTTTCATCAATTAGTGATCCTTCGAAGACAGGTAAATCGAATCTACTACTTAAAAAATGAACATGGACATTGGGTGAAAAATGAAAAAGACAGAGAGGAGGTCATTTATAATTATTTCAAAAGTTTATTCACCTTAGGACCTCATAACATTTTACACAGCATTATGGATGTTCACCTAAATTGTTTAGATGAAGAAACAGTAGATGCTCTGAGTCAACCACTTTCACAAGAGGAAATTCATAAAGCAGTTTTTGAAGTGGGAGCCCTCAAAGCCCCAGGCTCTGATGGTTTCCCAGGAATTTTTTTTTTCCAAAAATATTGGAGCATTGTAGGAAAGAAGGTGGTGGAGTCGATCCAAATCTAGTTTCATACAAGCACTATCCCTGAATCGGTAAATTTCACAAGCATCACCCTGATTCCAAAGTGCAATCACCTTGAGGAGGTAAGTCATTTTTGGCCCATTAGTCTTGCAAATGTCACCTACAGGATTCTTGCAAACTGCATTGTAAATAGGCTGAAAAATGTAATGCCAATGTTAATTGATGAGAACCAAAGTGCTTTTGTGCAAGGTCGAATGATCTCTGACAATACCGTCATGGCACATGAAACTTATCATTTCCTAAAGCAAAAAGTAAAGGGGAGAGCATGCTATATGGCGATTAAAATAGATCTTAACAAAGCTTATGATCGCCTGGAAAGGGGTAAGAAGATAAAACCTTCTAGAGGCATTAGGCAAGGAGACCCCATCTCCCCTTACCTCTTCATCTTGGCCATGCAAGTTCTCTCGGCGACAATTCATGAAGCCACTCAGAATGGAGTTCTCAAAGGAATGCAGATCCGAAGAAGAGCACCTCCTCTATCTCATATGTCTTATGCAGATGATTTCATTATGTTTCTTAAAGCTGATATCCAAAATGCCATAAATATTAAATCCATTGTAGACTCCTTTTGCAAATCCTTGTGGTAGCTCATAAATTTTAGTAAATCTGAAATTTATTTTAGCAGGAATATTCCCCAAAAGTTTAGAAGAATCATATGTCGGGTGATGAAAATAAATGAGAAGAAGCTAAACTCAAAGTATTTGGGCCTTCCCACCATTGTGGGTGCAAACAAGAAGGAAGTTTTCAATACCACATCAGAAAGGGTTTGAAGCAAAGTACAGAGTTGGAAAAGCAAGTTGTTATCCCAGGCAGGGAAAGAAACTCTAATTAAAACAGTCGCAACAACTTCTCCAATGTACTACCTAAGTCACTTTCGAATCCCTACAAATATGTGTTCACAGTTCAATAGCCTACTCTCCAATTTTTTCTGGGGGTTAGAAAGAAAATGAAAGAAAGCTTCATTGGATCAGGTGGGAGAGTTTGTGTGGGGAAAAGAATATTGGAGGGCTCGGTTTCCAAGATTTTAAATCTTTCAATTGGGCTCTGTTGGCAAAGCTAGCATGGTGTCTCATTCAAAATCAGAACACTCTATAGGCACAAATGTTAAAGATTATATACTTCCCAAGAATGGTTTTAAACTATTGAAGAAAGGTCTGGTTTGGAGAATTGGGGATGGTAATTCGGTAAACATTTGGGAGGATCCATGACTTCCCTCATCTACAGATTTTAAAATCCAATCCCCCCGCCCATTAAACTGTGAGATTTCAAAAGTAAAGGACTTAATACTTGAGAACCCCTGCCAGTGGAACTTGCAATTGATAGAAAGAACTTTCACTAATACAGAAGCCAAACATATTGTGACCATTCCTCTAAGCATGGAACCCCATGAAGACAAACTCGTTTGGTTTTATAACAAAAATGGTGAATACAGTGTAAAATCTGGCTACCATGTTGCATGGAAAATAAACAGAGATAGTGGAAGTCATCAGAGATCCACCCATCACCATAGACAGGTTGACCATCAAGTATGGAAAATGATTTGGAGTTTAAAAATTCCGTTGAAAATGTGAAATTTCTTATGGCAAATGTGTTCCCAAGCTACAGGGGTAAATGATTTTCTAGGATAGAGGATGTTAATCATCTCATCCTCAGGTGCAACTTTGCAAGGGCAGTTTGGTTTTTTTCCCCCCTAGCTCTGAAGGTAGATAAAATCTCATGTACAAGTATTGATGTTTGGGTAGCAAACTGGTGCAACAATCAAATTTTTTCTAAAGGAGGAGAAATCGAAATGGGCAGAGTAGAAAATTTGGTTGGCTAAAAATGAATTTATTTTCAGAGGATCTTAGATCACCCCAGGAAAGTAGTAAAACAGTCAACTCATCTATGATTGGAACTTGAGACAGTCCAAAACACCACTGTAATTCGTTGCATCCCCCCTCCATCCTTAATGTTTAAGGTAAATTGTGATGCAAGCTTTGACAAGTCTTCAGGCTGGGTGGACATAACTTGTGTCATCAGGAATTCAAACGGGAACGTCGTTGGAGCACGGGGTTTAAGAGTCCGGTGTATTTCAATGCTAGATGCAGAAGTAAGAGCCATAAGACTCGGATGTGCGGAACCACTTAATCAAGGCGCAGTGCCAACAGAACATAGGTTCTCCCCCCTACATGCATTGTGGTCGGACATTGGTAGTAGCCTTTCCCGGCATTGTAACCGGCGGGCAAACCGTCTGGCTCATGCCATCGCAAAAGCTATGAAGACTTCAGGAGGTAGTGGCACGTTGGTTTGGACCGTTTTGGTCAATCTCTTATGAAGACATGTATCCCCCTATTTGATTTTAAATGAAAAGCTGCTTATCTCCTATTTACGAAAAAAAAATTATCACAATTAATTGACATATCTTTATTTATAGGGTAATAAATTACTCTTTCACATGGCATTTAATGCCTTGATGACCAGTCTTCATAGTCAAGACAAACTTGCCTAACAGACACTCCAACACTTGGAGAAATCTTAGATATTTTTGTCTAAAGATTTGAAAATTCTTGTTTCTGCTTTCAACAAGTATTTCTTGATTATTAACTCTTTTTTAAGCTAAAAACATCCTAAGAATTAAAACCATTAAATTTTGTAGTTTCTAAGGTTCATTAACACAATCTTATTAAGCATCTATAGAGTGCACCATACATTTGATTACATCAAAATCTTAAAAATAAAAATACAATTTAAGAATCGCTCGTTGTAACCTTCTCCTTAGTAAGATATTGTATTAGATGTTCTTAAGTAGCTCAGAAATCATTAAGTTCTTCAATGCTCGAGTCACTTGGAGCTTCCTTACCTTAGAGAGATGATGATAGTATAAATAACTTAGCTCTAAAGATTTATTGCACACTCAATTTTTTTTTTTTTTTGAAAATGCCCTTAGGCATTATATTTCATTCAATCAGAAATTGAAACAAAAAGAGCCAACAAGGCCCTAGATACAATTTTTTTTCAAAAAATCAAAATACAAAAATGGACGAAGGAAGACATAAAGAACTTCTGCAACCAAATAAAGGTGAAAGAAATAAAGACAAGTATATCTCCAATCCATGGTTGGAATAGATTCGCAAAGAATGGCAAAACTCCACACATAACAATCGTTACTAGAGACAGAAACTGCCATCCATAGCTACCTTCGCCGGAGAACTGTGAACGGAAACTCACAGATAGAGGTATTCAAAGAATGGAACCATTTATTTATTGTTAGGAAAATAATGAGATCGATCAACTTATTTAGGAGTCAACATATATATTAGCTAGCTCATTTCCACTTTTCATGCCAAGTCCAACTGAATCCACTATAAATTAAATTAATGATGCTGTATTAGGTTCAAATTCTGTTTAAAATTAAAATGAAAATAATCTCATTTCATGTGTCAATTAACAAGAATCATACACAGATAGAGGTATTCAAAGGCGTATCATACACAGAGCTATTCATAAGTTGTGAGGCTGAGAGCTGTCTGAACCATTTTCCTTTGTCGGTGATCGAACCACTTTGAGAGAGGATTTGCCTAAGCTTTTATCTCGTCGACGACGACTTCGGTACGAGCTGCTGCCTGAGCTTTTCCTTCGTCAGGGGCTGCCTCAATATTTCCCTTGTCAGGAGGATCTGCCTGAGCTTTTCCCTTGTCGACGACTTGGACTTGGGTAGCGGCAGGAGGATGATCTTCCTGAGATTTTTCCATGTCAGCTGGCGGAGCTTCTTGAATCTTGCTATAAATCGGAGCAAGTGCGGATGCTGCCTTGTCAAGTTGATAGTTTAGACGGTCGAAACCAGGTTGACCGCTTGAGGAATCATCCACCACTTGAGATAACAAACGGAGAAATTAAAAGCGTTCTGAGCTTCGCTTCTGAAACATAAGTTTTAATGGTGTAATGAATAAACAATAACAAATTATGACTACTCAGAGACGTTAATTCCTGTACCTAACATATTCAGCTGGAGCTGATCAACATGAATGTCGACATTCTGGGGTGGAGTTTGACGTTGTGAATTTGAGTTGGGATGGAGATATTTCTTTTTCAGCTTGGAAAAGCATTTTCCCCCACAAATCACACACCATCTTAACGCCGCTGCTGTGAAGGTCAGAATTTCTGCTATCATGACGATACAATACTCTCTACGTCCAATAATCAAATCAAATCAAGTTTGGTCTTTCAATTCCCAAATTCCGTGCCATTCAAAAGTTTAAAGCAGAAAGCATGAAAATGAACTGTTTTTTCATCATATCCAGAGAAAAACCAAATTACAGATCTAGAAACAATTACATACCAAATTGCTGAAGAAATTAACAAAATTAATGCAGAACAATTACTTACCTCGAGGTAATTTGAATTAATGCTCGGCATATAGAGAGAGAGAGAGAGAGATTAACACCAAGTCTTCTATAAGTACATATATATATATATATATATATATATATATATATATATATCCTGAACGGACAAAGTTTGCATGCAGACAACTTGGTCACACGGCATCCATTAATTCCACAATGGAGAGGTAGGTGTTTATATCAAAGCCACGTATTTACAGGCTCTACATGGTATATAGGCAGCTGGGTCTTACCTACTGCAGCTTCACCCCGGCCGGCTTCCGGTTTCGAGCTTCTCACACCCACCAAAACCCAACTGTTCTGATATATGCATGCCAAGCACAAAGAAGAAATTTGGCTTCGATCGACAGACGACCACCTGTGCTGTCAACAGAGGAATCTACCCAGATGACACGTTAGTTCACACAGTTCGGTGTTGGGATGTATGGGTGAGTGAACAAACGTATACTTGTCATGAATGGGACTATGTGGTATGGGAGGGAGCCTCGCTCGTTGATGATGACTAATGAGTAGGAAGAAGTTTCCAGCAGTAGTATATATGTACGTGGTAGCTTACTGGAACCAACGTGTGGCTGGGTGCATATATGCGCTTTAAAGGACTTAAAGCTCTTCAGTTCAGGTGTTATGTGTCTTCCGAGCAGATACCATTGTACATCGATCTGATGATCTATTGCCTTTTGTAATTAAGGTAAAGGTGGTTAATTTCCCTTTGTGACCGAGTAGACTTTGAACAACTAAACAAAATAAATTGGAATTTCTACTTCTATATAAACTTAAAAAAAAAAGTAAACTTAATTAATTGCAGCTAATTAAATCCAAATAGTTGGGAACTTGGGATTAATACTTTGTTGAGTTAAATGTAAAACTAGTTGTTAGAATATCAAATGCAAAATTAACTATTGGAGCATTGAATGAGAAACTAGTTGTTAGAAGTTATTTGAGCTTTTAATGAATTAGTTGTTACAAATTCATTAACAACTAGTCATATAATTCTATGTTTCTTGGAGCATAATTGTAGATTCCATCAAAACACCATGTCAATAAAACACTGTTTTCTCAAAAAAACACCTTTTTGGAAACAACATTGGTTCTAAATACTACCTTAATCTTCCCTTGACTTTAACTCTCACTCATGATATCCCGAATATTCTTATTCTTTTTGTGGATGAACTTGTTCTTTTCATATTAGTTCTTTTGATGGTACTTGTAAGTTGCACATGCTTTGCATGTGGAAATTTTTTACGATGATGATGGTGATGATTAGAGGTGCAATTTGGGTGGGTTGGGTCAGGTTGAAGGTCAACCCAGGCCCAACCCTAAAGGTGTGAACCTTGGGCTCAGACCTAGCCCAACCCGAGGTTAAGCCTAATTTTATCAATTGAGACCCAACTTGAGCTTAACTCAACATAATTCAGGTTGGCTTGGGCTTGAGTTGGACCGAGTTGGGTTAGTTGGGCTCGGGTGAGTTGGTTGGGTTTAAAAGAATTTATGTACATAATTTTACATATGCATCTTTTAATGGACTTAATAACCCAATTTAAGAGTAGAATTAATTGAAAATATGTACAAATTTCATTTACAAATGTTTGTTTACATACTTCATACATATACTAGTAATTAAAAAAAGATATTTTATATAAATATAATACACACACGCGCGCTCAGGTTGGGTTGGGTAGGGCCTGAGTTTTCTGGCCCAAGCCCAGCTAGCCTACAACCCAAAAAACTGAAGCCCACCCCATGCAAAAACTAAGGTTGGGTTGGGTTAGGTTTAGGTTGGACCTGCCCAAGTTGCACCCTTAATTAATGATGATAGTAAATAATATGTTTTCTAAAATTTTCTACAATTTTTTTAATGTTTCTATGTCTATTAAAATTATTTTGATTTGTCACACTTATTTTATTTAATATGATAAATATATGATATTAGAAAGTGCCCAAATGTTTTCTATATTTTTTGTACTTTTTGTATTTTTGTGTATCTTCATATTTTTTATTTTTTATTATTATTTAACTATGACATCAATTGTTGACACATTCTATTGACTCACAATCAAAAAGGAAAAAAACTCCATTTTTTTGGTTGGTATTTTTTTAATATGATAAATATATAATATTAGAAAGTGCACAAACGTTTTCTACAATTTTTTTGGTATTTTTTATTTTTTGTGCATTTTCATATTTTTTTAAAATTTTATTATTATTTAACTATGACACCAAGGGTTGACACATTTTGTTGTCTCATAACTAAACAAGAAAACAACTCCATTTTTAGGTTGTTCATTTTGTCTAATATGATAAATATATGATATTACAAAATGCACAAATGTTTTCTACAACATTTTTATTTTTTGTATATATTTTTTGTGTATTTTCATTTTTTAATTATTATTATTATTATTTAACTATGACATCAAGGGTTGACACATTTTGTTGACTCACAACCAAATAGAAAATAACTCCATTTTTTGGTTGGTTTTAAATTTGTATTTTATTTCTATCATTTATAAAAACTTTTATTCTTTATCACACTTATTTTTTCTTTAATATGATTAATTAATATAGGATTCAATGAAAGAATGGGAGTTAGACCTGTTCACGGGCCAAGCTTAAGACCAAAGTTTACACTATCTCGGGCTTGGGCTTCGAGCTGGGCCCATTAGAATTTTGACAAAAGCCAAGCCTGAGCTTGGCCCATGAACATGTCTACTGGGAGTTAACACCCTAAATGTAAAATTTAATGGGGATTGAATGAGAAGACATGTAGTAGGTCAAATTACATTTTGTGAGATCACAATTAGGGAGGGACGAAATTCAAAAATAGGGGTATTCTAGTCATGAATTGGTTTTAATAAATGTTGGTAGGAGTTTATTTTTTACTACAATTAAAATTTCAATTTCTAAAAAAGTCAAGGAATACATCAGGAGGAGAAATCCAAATAGATCCATGTTGAATTCCCCTAAACCTTGTAGCCAAATTATGAGAAATCAAATTTAAAGATCTATGCACATGAACGAAAGATAAATCATCAAAACAAGCATCAACGTTCTTAATGTCAGATATAACTGGTTGAGTAACCCATAAAGATGAGAGCACTGCCCCTTGCAAGGCAGTAATCACGTTGAGATTGTCATTTACCACACAGATTTTTTCATGATGAAATGTTGAGCAATGCTTTAAAGTAAAGAGAATAGCCCATGCTTCCACACCTTCAACATCACAAAGAGGAAATGGAGTAACTCCCGCCTTGATGAACTTATAATTCACGCCAGTAATCACCCACACAATAGAATTAGATTCGTCTTTGACAACAACATCAGTGTAAATAATGACATCCACCTCAGTAGGGACAAGTTTGATTCCATATTCCTACGCATGTGTTGAACCCCCACATCCTCATGTGTTGCTTTTTGTTGAATATTATGCCATTCCACACAGAAACTAGGGGTGCAACTTGGGCAGGCCCAACCCGAGCCCAAACCGGCCCAACCTGAAATTTTACACAGGCTGGGCTTGGATTTTTGGTCCTCGAGCTGGGCTCAGGCCCAAGAAGTCAGGCTTTTTTATTTTTCGAGCCGATGTGTGTGTGTGTATGTAAATGTTGCATACATATTTACATATATATACATACATATTTGTATATATATTTTGCATACATATTTACATACATACATAAATATATGTACATATATTTGCATAAATACATTTATATATGTATAATTTTAGAGTGGGTTTATCGACCAACCCGAGTGCATCAAATTACAGGGTAGACTGGGCTCGGGTTGGGAAAATCGGGCTTGACCTCAGGCTCGGGCATTAAGCCCAAATTTTAGGGTCGGGCCTGGGTTGACCATAAACCCAACCCAACCCGCCCGAGTTGCACCCTAACAGAAACAATACACAATCTGAAGTACATCCCGAATACCCTTGGAAAATGCATTTGTTACGAGCATCCCAGATCTTCCACAACACAGTAGTCGTGAAAATCAGGTCAGGCATCATCTCCTCATCATGACGTCGTGCACCAATCACAAAATTCCGAAACCATTCAGCAATAGTTATATTTGGAAGGTTGATTTGGTCTCCATGATAAAGAAGACCCAAACCAAATAGCTCTAGAAAATGAGCAATACCAAAATAAATGCTCTGGTGATTCAACGTGGTTACACCCAAAAAGGCATAACGTTTCAAGCCCTACACCAAAAAGCTTATCCCATGTATACAGTTCTCCATGTAAGATTTTCCATAAAATAGTAAAACCCTTGGGTAAATCTTCAATTTCCAGAACCTCCTCCAAAACACACCATCTTGAGAGTCAATTGAAATAGAGCATAGATGTTTATAGGCAGATTTTATAGAAAAAATACCTTTACGCTCTAACGTCCACAACCAACCATCATCACCACTTGATCTAGTAGATATAGGGACTTTAAGAATGTTTCGAATTGAAATCGGATCAAAAAATCTGTGAAGAAAATCCAATTTCCATTGTCGGTTAGAATCAAGAAGATCACAAACTCTACAAATGCCATCCAGAACACTTATAGGTGGGATCTGTAATTTGAAATTTGGTTGAGAGGGGACCCATAGATTTAATATAAGACTTAATGAGAGGTATTTGAATGAGGAGAAAAATAATTGTTTAAATTACATTTTTACCACTACAATTAAAAATGGACAAAATTCAAAAATTAAGATATTTTAACAAAAATTTCACATTTTTTATAAAAATATTGATATGGGTTTTAATCAACTTTCTTTCCTAAGTGCTTTTGATGGTATTTTTTTCTAGCCGAGTCTTGCTAGGAAGCAGAATTGATGGCCGTCTACCTAGGTCTCAAAGCAGCTGCTGAAAGACACTAGACTAATATTTTGGTTTGCCTAGATGGTCAAGTTGTGCTTCAAGACTTTGAATCTAATTAAGAATGGACTTCCCTTGGCATGTTCTTCATCTTTTGGATCAGATTTGACATTTGTTAGAGCAAATCCAAATTGTTTCTTTTTTGTTATGTAAATAGAGCTATGAACATCCATAAACTAGCACAATTAATTAAAACTTGGATCCCTTTGTCTTGTATGGACACTATCCTGAAGGATTCCGAGTATCCATTTTTCTGTAACTCTTTATTTCGAGTAATATAGTTAACTGAGAAATTTATGATGTATTCCTCTCAAAAACTTTTATTGATTTTCTAAATTTATTGTCTCAAACCCACCAACCCGTTGAATTATATGAATTACTGTCCAGCTGTCTCAATGGTACAACCGTACAAACTCGAAAAAAATTATGAGGTGTACCGAAGTCACTCAACGATAAAAATCCTTTACCCAGAAACAAAAAAGGGAAAAATCGTTGGAAGCAAAACTATTCCAACACGTCTCAGCAAATTAATCTAATCACCCTCTTAAAACCGTGCGCATTCCTTCGTTGACCGAGTTAAGGACTGTTTCTCTCCCGTAGGAGGAAGTCCCCAGCCTCTCTTGTTGTGCGTACCTTGACGAGACCTGCACACCTTACTTTGCTTGCATCCACCTGCCTCTCGAAACCATCATAATATCCATGCTCTGCAACTTCTACCTAGCTTTAAAGGTGAATTCCCATATCTTGGTATCCCAGAATCACGGTGTTTTTCTTTTCTTTTTTACTTTGAATTCTTAGAAGTTCTTTATTTTACTCTGAAGTTCGTGTTCGTTGAAAATTTGTAATTATTGAAGTAGTAGATTGTGGGGCGATTCTAAGCACTGGTTGGATGCCTAATTTATTTGTGTTGTTGAATTTCTAGCTTGTAGGTGTTGGATGCCGGGTCTCTTTTTTACTAATTTTGTTTCCATTCAGTGCATTGGCTGAATTACACATTTTTATTTTTCCACGGAAGTTTTAAATAATCTAGCTTGTAGTTGTTGAGTTTCTTAATCCAGCTTTTCCTTGAGATTGATATGTGCTCTAGTGTAATTTACAGATTTCGCAACTCTTTTTTTTTTGGGAAAACTGGTTTTCTTTTTTTTTTTGGTTATGTAATTTATATATGTCTGTTTTGAAAAAAAACCATTAGAAAAGCCCATATGGGTTTTTGATAATTGAGATAATTTAGCCTTTTCATTTTGCACTGCTTTGAGGTTGTCAAGTGAGGAATGATATGAGTGAAAAAGATTCCCAGCTCTTTCTTGTTTCAACTCGTACAGAACATCACTTCTACTTTTTATTTTTTAATTTTTTGTCTTCAGTCTCAATTGAGAGTCATAAATGTGACGATATGAAGTGCAGGATCTTCCTACTCATAACAGATTTTCCAGACTCCTTTTGCATAAATCAGTTTTCTTGGTACTAATTCTGTTATTCATTTTTTGATTGCCTAACACCTGAGAAATCTGAGTGATCTAGAATTCAATTGAAGCAGAACACAAAATAGGGATTTGATTACTTTTTCATGTTGTATATAAGTTCTGGGGGTTAAAAGATGAAATGAAAATGTGATATTTATTCTATCCTTCTCTTGGAAGTGATTTTTTGGGCTTTAGGAGATGTACTGGGTTATATGTGTTGTCAATTAACATTCTATTGTGCTACTAGGGATGGTTGAGAAACTTCAGTCTTCATTTTGTAATCTGTGCTGTTTGAGCTGTTCTCTAAAAGGAATTTATCCATGGATGAGTTCAGGGGTACATCTATCAACACCTTGCAAAGGAACTTTGAAGAAACCCTTTAGCCTCAGACTAGGGGCCCTCAACCTCCTCCGGTTGATGGTCACATCAAACTCTTCATTGATGTTGTTGACAATTCTATTGGGAACCTAGGTCCATCTAGAAATGGTGGGATCATTACTGATTGTAATCATTCATGGAGAGTGGGAGATGAGAGAGAGAGAGAGAGAGAGAGAGAGAGAGAGAGAAAGAGAAGAAAAGGGAGATACGATTGAGAGGGAAAAAAGATACTGCTGGCTGCCGCCAGTTCTCTATTTATATAAACTTAATAAAAAGAATAGAAATTATAAGTATGCCCCTGGCGGCACACCCTAGAACCAAACTAATAAGAAAAAAAAAGACAAGTAACTAACTGATAGTATCTTAAGAAGTCAGCCTACTAATAGCAACTATAAAGTAACAATTAAATAAGCCTTACAACACTCCCCCTCAAATTGGGCTGAATATGTCTATCATGCCCAACTTGTCACATAACTCATTAGCAAGTTGTTCCTTGGACTTGACATAAGGGATGCAAATTTCCCTTTTTTCCAATTTTTCCCTTATGAAGTGTTTGTCCACCTCAATGTGCTTGGTCCTCTCATGTAGGATAGGGTTGCTGGCGATGTTTATTGCAGCCTTGTTGTCACAGTAAAGAGGCATAGGACTATGAATAACAACTCCAAGCTCCCCTAGAAGATTCTTTAGCCAAAGGATTTCAGCCACCCCATGTGCCATAGCTCTATATTCAGCTTCAGCGCTTGACCTTACTACCACACTTTGTTTCTTGCTCTTCTAGGTCACTAGATTTCCTCCCACAAATGTGCAATACCCACTTGTGGACTTTCTGTCATCCACAACTCCTGCCCAATTAGCATCTGTAAAGACTTCCACCTTTAGGTGATTGTGTTTACTGAATAGTAG